CCGCGGTCACTAGTTAGGTATCTAGGAAATCCGTGGTAGCGATAGTATCGGTCAACAAACACTTTGGCACATTCTTCTGACGTCATTGAGTTTGTACCAAACATGAAAACTTCCTTCGACAAACGATCAGTTATTACCATAATATTGGTACACCCATTTGACGGGGGCAGATCAGTGACGAAGTCAATCGTAAGTTCACAGCCAACCCTTTCTGGAATTGGTAACGACCGAAGAAACCCAGCTTTTGCTTCCCTCCAAACATTTGAGCGTCCACAAACGTCACAATTCCGAACAAACCGACGCACCGATTCCCTCATTTTGGGCCAAAACCATCTCCGTAGTAGGATACCTACCATTGTGTCTCTCCCTGGATGTCCTGCAAGATGGCTATCGTGTGTCTGCTGTAAAATAGCTGTTCGAAGTGGCTCGTGATCTGGCACCCAAATTCTATTTTCACGACCTCTCAGCACTCTATCTGCAGCCACTGTACATTCAGCGATATTAGCTCTATACTTTAAGGCGATATCTGGAGGAAAGCATCTTTCACCCGCTTGTACAGCATTTCGAGCTCGCTTCCAGTCGTTATCTATTTCAATACCCTTCGCCCATAGAGCTTGTAGCTCATCACTCTCAAAAAGAATTGCTTCAGCGGCTGGGTCCATGGTTTGGTTTGTGTTACGGTTAGTTTTTCTGGTATTGACAGGGTGGATAGAAACTGTTGGCAATAACTGTATAACCCTTCCGGCATTTCTTTCATCGTCGAGACCTGTGGGCTTATCTTGTTCTCGCCTTGACAATGCATCCGGTCGCTCGCTAGCAGCTCCTGCTCGCCACTGAATGTTAAAATTAAACTGTTGCAAGGTATCGTTATACCTAGCCTGTCGTTCGTTGAGAAGCTTTTTTGAAGCAAAGTAATTGAGATTTTTATGATCACTAAGTATAGTGAAGGGTTTTGCCACTGATTTTAATTCAGCCTGCCACTCCTTGAGACATTCAATAATTGCAAGCATTTCTTTGTCACGAATAGGGTAATTGTACTCGGCGCCTGACAATCTTCTTGAAAAATATGCAACTGGTCGTAATTTATTCAGATCGTCTAATTGTGATAAGCAACCACCCAGTGCATATCCAGAACAGTCTGCTTCTAAAACAGTATCACGATCTGGGTCCCATTGAGCTAAGACAGGTGATGTTGCAAAAATTCTCTTTAATTGCTCGAATGCTGAATTTTGTTTCTCACCCCAATTCCATGATGAATTCTTCTTGGTCAAATCTATTAACGGGGCAGCGATGTCAGAAAACTTATTTATAAAACATCGATAAAAGTTAGCAAATCCTAGGAATGATCTAACACCTTTGACGGAGGTAGGCGCCTTCCATTCCAGTATGGCTTTCACTTTGTCCGGGTCTGTCGAAACATTCTCACCTGCCTTGATGATAAATCCAAGATATTTAACTTCCTGACAAAGGAATTCACATTTATCAATATCAAGGTATAGTCCTGCACTTTTGAGTTTCGATAATATGCTTCTGACTACCTTCCAATGTTCCTCCTCACTCCCTGATGTATACGCCAGAACGTCGTCCATGTAGGCTGTGGCATCAATGTCAAGGTGCTCGCGCAATTGCTCATTAATATATCTTTGAAACGTTGCTGGTGCGTTGGAAAGACCGAAAGGCGTTACCATCCACTCGAAGAGACCAAACCGACAGCGGAATGCCGTCATCCATTCACTGCCCTCCTTGATACGTATTCTATGGAAAGCTGATTTTACGTCAAGTTTGGTAAACCATCTTGCTTTAGATAACTGACGTAGCGTTTCTTTGAATAACGGAAGTGGATATCGATCAGGCACCGTTATCGCATTTAGTCCCCTGTAATCTACGCAGAATCTAAGGCCTCCGTTTGGCTTCTTTGCAAAAAGTACCGGTGCCGCTGCTGCTGACTTGCTGGGTCGAATCCAACCCTTTTCCAGGAGGTCGGTCAGGGTTTTCCTCAAAACAAGCAACTCTTCTCTTGACATACTGTAAAGTGGTCCCCATGGTGGTGACAGAGGTTTCCCATTTTCTTTCTTTAACTCTATAGAATGGTCAAGTGCCCCGCGCGAAGATGGTAAGTCTTTTGCCCCTGTGTCATCTGCAAATAAATGAGCAAAATCCTTGACTTGGTCAGGTAGGCGATTCCGCGCTATTTCTAACGAAACACCCGGTTTTCCACGTAATGCTTTACTTATATCTTCGAGCGATGCCTTGCAAACTGGGACAGTCTGGACCATTAACGCCATAGTTTTGATTGGAACATTCTTTGGCCGAGCCACATTTCTCAAATCTTGTCGCCATCGCTCGACGCTGCATACAGATCCACCATACTTGCGAAGCTCCAATCGCTGCTCTTTAGAATGAATTACAGCATCTTGTTCTTCGAGCCATTTTTTCCCTAATATCAACTGATGTGTGCTCTGAGGGACAATGTAGAGCCACAGTTTTGGGGTGATATATCCATCAAGATCTAGTGATATGTACGTAATTTTATCCACAGTTGGCTTGTTTGTAGATGAATTATCTGCAGTTTCTAGTAGTCTTGGTGTAATCGGAATGCGCGGCAGTCGCAGTTTTTCAGCTAATGCTTCATCAATAATTCCAAAACACAAGCAACCATTGTCTACTAATGCTTGTACCATTTTTGTATCATTTAATAATGCATTTAAAAGAAAAGGTTTTGTATTCATGCTCGCTTCAAAACTGCTGACTGTTTCTGGCTCCTGAGCGCGACTATGTTCAGGAGCCTTTAGTTTTCCGATTCCACTTCCACTTCCTCCACATAGTACATTGATGGGTCTATTTCCGGCAATGACGTAGATGTAACCCTGACTGAATTACCTCTAGGCTTTAAAGCCGGCAATAGAGGACACTTTCTGGTTATACACCCTTTCCGCTCACATCTAAAGCAGCGGCCTTCTTGTCTCAATATTTCTAATTGAGATTTAGTTTTCCACATTGCTCGCCGGCGTTCATCTTTTACCACACCCATTGCGTTAACACCGCCCATAACAGTGTCCCCTGACTTATCCACCGCCCCGTCCTTTCCGAGGTTACTGAATCGACTATCGAAATTATCTGATATTTGATTATGCGGTAACCAATTGATTCCGTTATTTCCGATAGTGCGTCCCTTATCTCGATTTCCATGCCATAGATTCGCATCAGGGTATGTGTAATCCCGTCTTCCATAGAATCGACTCTCAGCTATCTCAAACTGCTGTGCAACCCTGTTCACTATATTCACCCATTCATTGAAATCATCGTCAGGCAACATGTGATTTGAGGCTAGCGCCATAGTCAACTTTTTGTTTAAAGCATTCTGGAGCAGGGAGATTTTGTTGTCATCTGGCCAAAAATCTCCTCGAGCCTCAGTCAATTTGTTCGACCAAGATGCTAGAAAGTCCGACCAGTGTTGTTTATCCTCCATTTTCATAGACTGTAGCTCTGTTTTAGCACGAGAAATTCTTGTCGAATCTAGAAAAAGCCTGTCGAGGAATTCAATGAAATCTTCGGGATCTCTGGTATTCCGAACTCCGCCAGCTTCGTAGAACGAGCTGGCCTTTGTTCTTGCCGTGCCCTTCAGTGCGTTATAGATCATCAGGAAAGCTCGAGAATTGTCGTATCCGAAAAGATTCCAGTCCATACGGAAAGTATCCAAGACAGCAGCACGCCATGCTGGGTATTCAGCTCTAATTCCAATGAATTCCGGAAGCTTTGTCGGCTTTAGACTGGTGTGCTCGCTTGGTGGTGGATCCTTCTCAATGATAAATCTTTTAGTAGACGTAGGTTTACAAGATTGCTTTTCGAGCAATTTTTTAAACTGATGCTGAAGTTCGCGGAATTCCTCGATAGGTACCATCTGGTGGCGTCCCCCGGTTACCGATGATGTCATTATTATTGAGATTTATTACTGAATGACTACAACTCACTGCGGTTCCGAGTTACTGTGACTGACTACGATTCTGAATTTCTGCGACTGACTGCGGTTCTGAATTACTGCGACTGACTGCGATACTGACTTACTGCGACTGACTGCGATACTGAATTACTGCGACTGACTGCGGTTCTGAATGCCTGAATGAGAGAAAATAATATGTCACGGTTCGAGGTATAGATGCTGGGGCGATCAAATATACGAAGGTTGTTTATTATTTTCTCTATGGCTATCTATGTACGTCCAACTTCAACTATTTATTCGCTTACTATTCTATCTAGAATATTCTTGACTAATACCAGTTTCTAGTATTTTCCCCTGAGGCTGGTTCGCAGTCTTACTACTAGTTGCTAGAAATTTCTAGTGATGTCCAGATTAATCTATGATAGAATAGTGGTTTCGTAAAGTTGTGAAGCACGTGATTAACATCATGTGCCACAGGGTAATTACCGGCTCACTAGCCGTTACAACTTGAACCAGATGTACCCTGGATCTGCAGCCCAAAGTATTGTGATATCCAAACTTAACAGGCACCCGAATGGAACCAAGGATGAGTGATGAAGCAATTGAAGAAAAAATTATTGACTAAAGCTATATATAATATAAGGTCAATTAATTGTGTTTCAATTAAATATAAAGAATGTGTCTGGGTCATCACTTCTATTATTGTTTACTTTTGTGATTGAGATAAGGCACGGATAGAGAGATATAAACCTACCTAGTACTAGGAGTCGAGTTGAGATAAAATTGAGATATTAGTATTAAAAATCTTACTCATGAACTAAGACGCTGATTATATAGATCCTCGAGTAGTATTTTAATGTCTAGGACTCAGTAGAGACTTGAATCAATCAAACCAACTTGAATGTTACAAGAAATTGTACCTTGATTCCAGCGGGATTTCAGCGTGCAACTGAGCTACCTGTGATAGATTACATGTGGAGTACACGGCAAACCTTCAAAAGAAATATTATCCAGCCCTTCGAATTGCTGCTAATTATTCCTTTCAAGTCGCAGTCTTTGATTAATGGTTACTGGGGGGATGGTCCAGGAAAATACCAGGTTCCATGATCTCCCCCAACTGTACGATTGTTTGATCATAGATCATGGCAACTTCTATGTCGTGTTCCCCAAAAATATCAAGCGATTTGTTAGTCTCCAACTCGATATCGCTCTTTAAAGGGCTATTTATAATTAGGTTGACTGTCAGTAGGCGAGTATCGTCAACTAGACTTTTAAGCCTCACTTTGTCCGTTTTACTAAGTCCATCCTTCTTACCACTCGAAAAGCCGGGTAAAATTTCACCTGTTACAGTATCTTTCCCTTTTAAAAGACTGGTAAATGCATGATCTAGTTTTGAAAACAACGTAATTGTAGAAACGGGAGCGGGTTGAAAAGCTGGTAAATATGTATTAATGGCCCCAGCAATATTTAAAAGATATGGAATTTGCAGACTTGCTGGTATTCATTAGCTGAGTCTACTCCAGATTCTATCTTTAGGTTTGTGATGCCTACGGGTTCCTGACAACCAGACAATATCAATAAGTTCCGCGAAATCCTTGGCTATCTCATTCATACTGACATATCCTTTGACATCGCTTGAATTGCTGTCTTCAGCAGGTTGAAACTTCTTAACATAACGTCTAGAGATATGAAGGAGTTTACCCTCCAGAAATCTTCTAGTAGTATCCTCCTTGGTCGAGCCAGGCCGTAACGATCGGCGACGAGGGTGAGGGAGGGATGCTGAAATCGTCTGTAGGGAACTGCCAGTTGTCTCACTAGAAATTTGGGGCATGTCGTCCTTCGTTAGGGGTACACCATCTTCAATTATAGGGTCGGCCATGTAATCCAGTCTGTTGTAGTAAAACAATGAGCCTGTTAAGAAAACCGTGATGTAAATGAGATTTATTTGAAATCTTTACACTTTCTCTGCCACAAAAGTCGCTTGATTTGCCTTAATTTACTCTATATCCAGTGAAAATATCCAACAATCTCACGCGAAGAGCAACCACCTTTGTCAATTATACTACAGTGTCCGTGCAAATAGTTGGCATTAACCTAAGATGTTTTCAATTCCGATTGTGTCAGAGTTGAGAAGTTGTTAATCACGTGTAAGTGTACAACCCTTGGCTTGGGCTATTTGCCAGCCGGCTCAAACCAGAAGCCGCCATGGGCCTTCAAAGCTGATACTCCTACCGGAAGCAGCACCCTTCGTGTCGTTTGTTACCAAGTGAACTGCGAGAGAATTCAGCCACTTCACCGAACTCGGTGAAGTCAGAGTACGATAATGTGCAGGAGATGTCGGCATACCTCTGTTGTCATCTAGGAATAGCACAGAATTATTTATGCATACCTGCATAAACGTTATGCTATGGCGCTTAATAAGGATATTATTGTAGACTGCTGCAAAAACAGGAATAGCCGCGCTATGATTGGTGGGATTAGTATGTTGTGAACCTGCAAGGGTCATAGGAGAGTAATTTAGGTGTGGTCCGCAGTATATTGAGTTGTGAACACACAACCATCTTCCGTCTGTACATCTTTCTATCTGCTAGCACAAATTAAAGTGCGATGCATCTTTACTAGTATCTACAATCAATTATCTACAAGTGCAGTATTTATAGACCAAACTCCATTTACATACGAGTAGCAGAGTCCGTATTGAACCCCTAGGTGACCTCATTTCATAAGAACCTCGCCATATAAGGTCAAAGGCCGAACAACAATCCGCTATATCCTCTAAGAGTCTAGGAGTAAATTAATCTCAGAGACAAGGCCGGTGAAGTTTCGCAATATTAAGGAAGCTGGCCCACAAGGCAATGGTTCAAGATACTGTCCCGTGTCAAATTTTCACTCCCATAGAGATCGACTCCTACCTAAGCTTCATCAAGTCTACAAGTAAGACCTAGTACGTCCTCATTTCAATGACCGAACCTCTGATCAACTATGTTCTGGCCTCAGCTCGTTACGAAACACACGGCTACGACGATACGAATACCAGCAGAAGGACAAATATCGTGACGCACAAGTTTTAGAGGCAGTTCTTTGGAATGGGCGTGAGAGAAACCAGGAAAACTTCACAAGGTGATGCAGAAGAAAAGTAATATCTCTATGGCTATTAGATTTCGAATATTGGCAAGGTTTACATGTTGAAGAGTATTATGCGTACTGATACTTCGAATGCGAGAGTGCAGCTGACGCTATAAAAACAAGCCAACGATAGAAGGTGCTGTGGTCCGCCTCCTCATCATGTATACATAGCACCGGTCATATATATACATACACATTCGGTCCTAAGCTAAAGCTATGTTTTCCACATTGGGTCAAGGACCGGCGGATCCGGCAGGGCTCCCTGTAACTTTTCCTACAGCCTAACTCGTTCCAACCTCGTGAATCGCTACCAAAAGTGCAGCTGATTGAACAAGAACGAAAAATCACAAAAATCAAAACAACTCCGAATACCAGAAGATTCCTGCATATTGGACCCAGTAAATGCGCTCCTCACACATTCCCTCGTCCGCCACACCTTCCAAGTGACAAAATTTATTCAATCTCCGCTGAGAGCAAGAGATGAGCTAGCAGGCACCTTTGATCCAGCCGGTATCCTGCTATTGGTTAGTAGATGCCCCAAAAGGGGACATCGTCGAGGTTGCTGTGTCCTCAAACTTCTTCTTCAGATCCCAGAGCTCCGAAACCTGTTGCCTGGGCCATCGAGACATCCTTCGCCGCGGCGATGATCGCCTCTTCAGCCTTTTTTGCTGCAGCCCTGGCTCGTGCCACCTTCGCGAACTCCCCTTGTTCGATGTGGCGAATCCACGCGAGCTGCTCTTTGGTCACCGGTCCGGATTTTTTTGGTCTGACTTGGCAGGCCCGAGAATCCGATCGATGAGGTCCCCCACAGTTGCGACAGCGTGTGAGGGCCTTGCACTCTGTTTCGGAGTGCATATTTGATCCGCAGTTCCAGCAAGCCGGAGCGCGGGAGCAACCACGAGTGGCGTGGAAGCCCAAACAGTGTTTGTACTGTTCAATTGATCGACGAGGCTTATGGATGGCTGCCATACCCGAATCGTCGAAAAGGCGGAAGCCCGCACGAGGGGCTTCGTCCCGGTGAAAAAGGGCATGCCAGTTTCGATAAGGCGATCCAGGCCGACATATCCCATGAGGTCGGACCTGGATTGGATACGCGCTGGTCGTAAGGAAGATCTCAGCGGTGACACTTGCAGCATCGGTCGCTACGGGGCCGTACTGTGAAACGATACTTACAGGTACGTTCGGTATCTGTAAGGCGACAAGATCCGAAGATGCTTCGAGTTTGGCGTTTTCACTTGCCAGCTTCGGAGAGACATCTAGGATCTCCTGTCGTATTTTTTCGTTCTTTGCTATAATAGCAAAGCCGGTCTTTACTCGATGAATCGAGGTTATATCATTGTAAGAGAGATTAAGCGTGTCAGCTACCTTATAGCTCCGGTCATGTTTGTTTGTTTTTTACTTTTAAGTCCTAGGATATACCCGTTATCCCCTGAGGATCAAAGACCGGGGTTTACAGCTAAGATTTTTTTTTTTTGCATCAGATTTTAATTGCGTATGCAGCTATCTAGCTATGACACAATATCAAAGAAAAGTATAGAACAGATGACTTAATTTACAAGAGGAGCACTCATGCCTCAGATTTCATTTGCAAGTACCACTGCGAAGTTATGGTGGCTTTTTCTTCACCCCAAGTCAACCCTCATCCGTGAATACCCACCCAGGGGAACATCTCAAAAACCCTGAGTTATCCAGACATGCCTCCGTCATCCATCAACTTCTCTCCGCGCGAAATGTAATCTGAAATGTCTCCTTCCCAAGTGGAGTAGGCGCCCAGGCTACTCAAACCATACCAGAGAACACCACCAGGAGGCGGACCACAACACCTTCCATCGTTTGCTTGTTTATATAGTGTCAGCTGCACTCTCGCAAGCGAAGTCTTGGCGCGCACAAAGCTCAATTCGTAAAACTCTTGCCAAAATTCGAAATTTCACGCCCGTCGAAAACGTATCCCTCTTCTGCATCATCTTGAGAACTTGCCCTGATCCCTCTCACGTCCATCCCAAAGAGCTATCTCCCAGATTTGCGCTCCACGCTTTGCTTCCTCCGTCGGGTATAAATATCGGCGTCAGCGTGTATTTGGTGACCGGCTGAGGCCAGAGAAAGTCGACGAGAGGTGTGGTCATTGAAGCGAGGATGTACTAGGTCGTACTTGTAGACTTGATGAAGCTTAGTTGAGAATCGGACTCTTTGGGAGCGAAAGATTGACATGGTGGAGTAATTTGAATTTTTGCCTCGTGGGCCAACTTCTTTGATATTGCGAAATTTGACTGAACTTGGCTCTGGGAGAATATTTCACTCCCAGGTTCGTAGAGGACACCGCGTACAGGTGTTCAGTCTTGCCATCCTTACAGCTAAGATTATATCTATGACATGTCCAACTTGTTCCCACAACGCGAACCGCTACTCAAATAGTAGCTAGATAAATTATATGTCGCCATATACAAAATAGAAATCATAACATAACTCCAGGCTCCAAAACTTTGAGCTCCAACTAAATATCAGTACTTGTGGTTGGGAAGCAAAACTTCTTGCCTCGTTTCTCTTCCGATCGAGTCATGTTACATGACTAATTTATTTGGACCATACTGAGAGCAGAAATATAGCTTGCAGCTGATCAGTCATAACATCGGATTTTCTAGCACCGGTAAGGTGTCATAGCTAAATAGCTGAATACATATTAAATGATTTAAAAAAAAAGGTTCGCCTCCTGGTGGTGTTCTCCGGTATAGTTTGAGTAGCCTGGGTACCTACTCTACTTGGGAACGAGAGACCTAAGACTAAATTTTGCGCGAAGAAAAGTAAATAAATGATGCAGATATGTATCCGGATAACTCAGGGAGTTTGAGACGTTCTCCTGGCTGGGTATTCACAGATGAGGATTGAGTTGGGGTGACGAAAAAGCAGCCATTGTCAAGGGATAGAGTAGATTGCACTATCACATAGACACGTGCTATCACGCGTCTGATGCGCGATTCACGATGTATATATATTTACAATCTTCCTACCACCATTCAACATGACCAAATTTTCTCGAAAAACCCAGTCAGCATATATTCAAGCTAGAACAGGAATAGGGAGCCACCTGGCATATATGAATAAGATTGGGAAAAGCGATACTAGTATCTGCACTTACTGCACAAAAATTATGCAAACAATTGAACATTTAATTCTTTACAGTTCATTCTTCAAGAAACAGAGGAGAAATGAATTTCAAAATCTATCACCACTTACACTTCCAATTCTATTAAACACAAATGTGGGGAAAACTTCGCTTCTAAAATATCTCTCAACAACTGGTTGCCTTTCTAGGGATAGGGTTGAGGAGGATAGAAATCATCCAACCAATTAATTACAGTTTAATTATCAAGTATTTTCTTTCTATTGTAATGTACATAAAATGGTGGTATAATATGATGTTTGGGTTGAGAAGGATATATGTGTATAAAGCGTCATAGCTAGTTAGGCTGCGTACACTTAATGAATAAAAAAAAAAAAAAACCTCCTACCGAGGCAGAGACAACTCAGCAAGCTAGAGCTTCACTCGAAGTGTCACGGACGAGGACGAAGACAGAGGCTGATAATGAAGACGAGATATTCAGATTAATAATTAGATTCTGTTAGAATCTAGAATAATTGGTGCTATCAAGTAGGCCATGTTATTGGTACACACGTGACTACAAGTTCTGTACTTAGTTTCACTTCGGTAGTTACTTGAATCAATGCGCTCTACAAACTCAATGACTGAGGGGTCAT